TTTTTTGTGGCATTTCTCCCCTGGAGGAAATGCCATAGAAGGTGATCAGGAGAAGCTTTCTGATGTCAGGGTGGAAATTTTGGGAAAACCTATCCTGTCTCTTGCCTTGCCTCGATGGGTTTTATTTAACACAGCTGCTGCCACTTCAGTCTGGTTGTCTTTTGTGTCATCATTCAAAATGCCATAGAAAGATCCTGAATTGGTTTATGCAGTGAATCATTTTCTTTCAGGATCAGCTGCGTGCAGAAAACGTTCAGGAAAAAGGGGGAAACGGTGGAGGCTCTCCGGAGTAAGAACATTTCATCTTTCTGGCTGCTTGTGGGATGCTCAGGAGTGGTGGCTGAGCTGCTGAGAGATTTTTTGGTGTTTCAGTTCAGGTTTTGGGTTTTTTTTGGGAGGGTGAGCCCAGGAGCACAGATGATAGGTTTGTCCTCTCTCATGGGTGGTGTTTGAAGCAGCACCCCAAAAATGAGCCCCTCATCCCCGAGGAGAGCCTGCTGGGCTTTCCATCACCCCCAATTCCTCCTGTGGATGTGGGGAACCATCCTGCAGAGATGTGATGTCCCTGTCACCCTCCCTGAGGGTTTCACCCTTTCCCCGGGTGCCTTTGAGCCGTGCACGACCCATCCCACAGCTTTGGGGTGCAGTGCACACCCCAAATGGCAGCTTTGGGACTGCCCCCGGGCCAGGGGGTGGCTCTGGGACCATAATTTCAGCCCTGACCCCTCTCTCCTGTGCCCCGTGGAGCAGATTTGTCCTTTGACATCTACGAGGGGCAGATCACCGCGTTGCTGGGGCACAGCGGGACGGGGAAGACGACGCTGATGAACATTCTCTGCGGGCTGTGCCCCCCTTCTGATGGTGAGTGCAGGCTTTGGGGGTCCCCAGGGTGTTATCCTTGGTCAAACAAGGCTGATCACCTCGGTGGGTGTTCCAGGATGCACCAGCATTTCTCTGGATTAATTCTAAAAGAGTTGATTTTTAAATTCCTGTCCCTGCCGAGCTGTAAAACCCTCTCTGCTCCTTCCACTGGAAAGTTCCCCAGCCCAGGAATGAGATGTCCTTTAAKCTCCACTCCACCCCAAACCATTCCATGATTCCCTGATGGGTTTTTTTTGTAGGGTTTGTCTCAGTTTATGGGCACAAAGTGTCAGAAATCGATGAGATGCTGGAGGTGCGGCAGATCACGGGCGTGTGCCCCCAGTCCGACATCCACTTYGACATTTTAACCGTGGAGGAGAACCTTTCCATCTTTGCTGCCATCAAAGGGATCCCTCAGAACGACCTGATACAAGAGGTGACTCCCCTGGGCTTGGGGGGTGTCTTTTTTTGGTCATTTTTAACCTGTAAATCAAAATATCCTTATGGGGTTTTTCCTTAACATGAGTTTTCATGGAAATATCACTTTGTGGTGCAATAAAAGAGGTCCAGGCAGGTATTTAGACAGGGATAAACTTTTAATTTTTTCCTAAAATTAAAATGCTCATGATATTTTAAGTATTTTAAATATTTTAAATACTTTAAATACTGTAAATATTTTAAATCTGGCATTTAAGTCCAATTATAGACATCATTCAACTTCGTGTGTAGGTTGTGCAGTTCAGATACAAAACATTGGGAATTAGYAGCAGTTAATTTGAATGTTAATTGTGAATAATCTGGTTTTATAAGTTACAGATTTATTTTTTTGAGCAATGGATGTGTTTCCTGTGTTTTTCAGGTGCAGAAGGTGCTGCTGGATTTGGAGATGCAGCCCATCAGGGACAATCAAGCCAAAAAATTAAGTGGGGGGCAGAAGAGGAGACTGTCGGTGGGAGTTGCTGTTCTTGGGAACCCCAAGGTGAGAGTGGTGGAATTATTCCCAGTTTGGAATAATCCAACCCTGCTGTATGGGATGGTTCCTCTTTTAGGGGAACACCTGGCACCCTTCAGCCCAGCCCCATTGAGTGGGATGGTTCCTGTTTTAGGGTAAATACCTGGCACCCTTCAGCATCTTTCAATCCCTGCAGAATGGGATTATTCCTATTTTAGGGGAATTCCTGGCACCCTTTATCCCAGCCCTACTGGATGGGATTGTTCCTGTTTTAGGGCCAATACCTGGCACCCTTCAGCCCAGCCCTGCAGAATGGGATTATTCCTGTTTTAAGGGAATTCCTGTCACCCTTCAGCCAGCCCTGCTGACCCTGTAGGGTGGGATGGTTCCTGTTTTAGGGGAACACCTGGCACCAACCCTGCAGGGTGGGATGGTTCCTGTTTTAGGGCAATACGTGTCTGCTTTCAACCCAACTCTGCAGAATGGGATTGTTCCTGTTTTAGGGGAACTCCTGGCACCCTTCAGCACCTTTGAATCCCTGCAGAATGGGATTGTTCCTATTTTTGGGGAGCACCTGGCACCAGCCCAATTGGGTGGGATGGTTTCTGTTTTAGGGGAACACTTGACACCCTTCAGCCCAGTCCAATTGGGTGGGATGGTTCCTATTTTAGGGCCAATACCTGGCACCCTTCAGCACCTTTCAAACCCTGCAGAATGGGATTATTCCTATTTTAAGGGAACACCTGGCTGCCTTCAGCCCAGCCCTACTGGGTGGGATGGTTCCTGTTTTAGGGTCAACACCTGGCATCCTTCACCCAGCCCCACTGGCTGTGCAGGGTGGGATGGTTCCTCTTTTAGGGCAATACGTGTCTGCTTTCAACCCAGCCCTGCAGAATGGGATTATTCCTATTTTAAGGGAACTCCTGGCACCCTTCAGCCCAGCCCCATTGAGTGGGATGGTTCCTGTTTTGGGGCCAATACCTGACATCCTTCAGCACCTTTCAATCCCTGCAGAATGGGATTATTCCTATTTTAAGGGAGCTCCTGGCACCCTTCAGCCCAACCCTGCAGGGTGTGGGGCTCAGTGGGGTCTCAGTGGGGTCAGGGCTGTTCAAACCCCACTGTTTCACCCCAAGGTGCTGCTGCTGGATGAGCCCACAGCAGGGATGGACCCCTGCTCCCGTCACATCGTCTGGAACCTTCTGAGGAGCAGGAAAGCCCACGGGGTCACCGTGTTCAGCACCCACTTCATGGACGAGGCTGACATCCTGGCTGGTGAGTGCTGTCCTGCAGCCCAG